GAGCTCACTAATGAGCTATTTCTGCTCTCAGCCCACGGTAGTCAGTGCAAGTGCTCTGCACAGCTCTCAGCCTCACAACCTTTCCAGCAATCCTTCTGTCAGGACAGTGAGAGGGGAACCACAGAGCTAAACGTGTCTCTCAGAACCCAAGCAAGTTAAACCAACTCCTCCAGCACCTGCTCTTAACTTCGGGAGTATTTTTTTAACCACAGGATTTGTATCACAACGTAATGCTGATGGCACAGGCAGAGCCCCATTCTGCCTCATTCTAAACTCGTTCCCTGGGCTCCTACAGGCAGAGACATCACCAGACTTTGTCCACCAGCTTTACAGGCTGCTGGCAAGCTCTGGATGAGGGTGAGGAATGCTCAGGACCACACCCAGTAGTGACTGCAATGGGACGGCCTCACTCAACCCAAATCCCTGTTATTTGTCCCCAAACTGGCTGAACTATCAAGTCCCACAACCAACTTGATTTCGGATCCACCATCATCTCTCTAGACCCTTTTTCTAGTGCTTAACCGAGACGTTTGATCCAAGCACAGTCTTTTATTCCATGAAAATCATAGCTCTCAACACTCTATAGAATATTCTCTGTACGACAAGCTCCAGTCCTGTGGTAACTGAAATACTTTAAAGATCACAACCAACGTGCCTCCAGAGAGAGGAAAGGGGAAAGAAAAAAAGTACCAAACACAAACAAACATAGTATAAGCAAATGCAGGTCTCAAAAGACTGCAAATTAAAAAAAAAAAAAAAAAAAAAAAAAAAAAAAAAAAAAAAAAAAAAAAAAAAAAAAAAAAAAAAAAAAAAAAAAAAAAAGAACAAAACCCAACAAAAAACAAACAAACAAACAACGAAAAAAACCCACCAAGAAAGCGTGTTACCATACAGTTAAATAAGTGCTGTCTTTAAGCCTGAAGTTCAACAATGTGAAGTGGAACATCACCATTCTTTTTCAGTTGCCTCTTTTTATTATTTTTTTGTCAGTAGTTGGATTGCTATCGCAAACACCTTCACAACATACAAAAAAACAAATTTGTTTTTTAATCCAGAATAAGGTAATGAT